CCGTGACTAAAGCCCGTGACTAAAATACTTTAGTCACCAGTTTGGCCGTCCGTGTTTAAAGTACCACTTTTTGTATCTTAAAATCGTGGAAACTAGAAGTAAAAATACTTACTTAAGTTTTATCTTGTTTAAATATTTACTATTGTATTACAGACACGATCAGTAAACAATCGACTTTGTTATATTGCCCTTGTTTGTTATATTTAAAGTGCATATTGCGCAGTTTGTTATTTTCAAAGTGTAAATGAATTACAATTTTTCTAGGAGTTTTTAACATGTTTCGCTTCGAGGGTATCATCAGAAAAAGGAAGCCCTCGACGCGAAACATGCTAAAAACTCATAGGAAAATTGTAATTCATTAACACGTTAAAAATAAAAAAAAAAATAAAAAAAATTAAAAACATGAATTACGTAGTTGTAAAAGAAGATAAATGAAATATCAATAACTATATGAACCTATAACAATAATTACTAGTTAATAACTGGTGAAAATACTACTAAAAAATATTTATTATTAAATTCCCATTAAATATAGATTTTGACATAATGAAGGGCAATTAATTATTCACTAGAAAATCAAAAATATTTTTTTAGACGAATAAAACAAAACGCAAAACGCAAAACGTGTGCAGTCAAAAAACTGCGGGTTTGTTTGAAACGCTATATGAGAATTCAATGCAATATGAGTTTTACTGAACGCCGAGGGGCGGAGGGTCGCGAGCAGATTGCTTTTTGGTTTGAGAAGTTTTTTTTTGCCGACGGTGTGCATTCGTCTTCGGCGCTCCACGCTCCGAATTGGGAGCCATCGTTCCATTCGTCCGGGACATATGTATGTCAAGGTATTAAAAAATCTATTCGCGCGCGTCAAGATGAGAACGTGAACAAGCTCGTTAAATAAAATGTCGCATTAACGATCGGCTGGAGTGTCGATCGTCGACGACGAGGGTTCGCGCGCCGCCAGCGGGGGTGAGCGCGAGAGTAATTTGGATAGATTCGGAGGCAACCATTAAAGGAAAGTGCGCCCTCGGTCCCGGTAGCAGCGTATAGGCAAACATAAAATTTGTATTTTATGATGGTTTAAACGCTCGGCAAAAAAGCGTCAGCGACAAGAAGTCGCTCATTTTCAAGTCGGTGCGTTATGAATTAAAGGCGAGTAAAAAGTCGCGCAATCGTATTTCAACTCGCGAGTTGGAAAAATTGCGCGAGTGTAAGATGCGTATGTAAGCAATCTGAAGAACCTTTGATGTTTGATTGAGGCGCGTAGTTCTATTAAAGACCCCGCTCCCACCACGCTCCGGATTCCGGCGCGGCGAAATTATTTGCACCGTGATCGTGCGTCGTGCGGCGTTTTCGCCTTCATCCACATGTGGTTATTAAATTTCTGACCCGCTCATGAACGACGTTTCGATAACGAGAGATTTGCGCGCGCTGTGAGCGGAGACTTAACGAGCGTCGTTCTTTTCCAACGCGGCTGCAGCTTTTCGTGTTTGATTTTAAATCGAGTAGGGAAAACTATAAGATTACCAAAAGCGTTGTGCGCGGATGTCACTTGGATCATTAATCACGATTTGTTAATTAATTACCTCAAAAAAGGTAACTGCAATGACCGGAGGTGGTGCAGGTGTTGCCACTGTAATCACCTGTGAAAAAATGTTTTAAGTAAAAGTTAATTGGAGTTAATTAGCAGCACATACGTAGATTAAAACATATATTATATTTAAATAATATTCTGTGATTTTAATAAGGAAACCAAAATGACAAAAACAAATTATTTTGAACAAACTTTATGTCGCGCAGGATTTTCTCCTTTGTCGTTAATTAATTACCCCAGTGTAGACAGGGTTTGATTGTTCGGTTGTTTACAATTTGCACTGCCGTGAGGCAAAAAATAAATAAAACGCCTGCGTCGAAACTTAATTTTTGCTCTCATATATTCCAGCCTTCGTGCGCTTTAATTATGCCGGAGAAAGTACCGGAGCGACGAAAATAAGGACGCGAAAAATATTGAAATTAATGTCGCATCAACATCAGCACGACGCGGCGCGCGCGCAACGATGTTGACGCCCCGCATTGGTGCTCGTGATTAGGTTCCGTAATTAAATCATGTATATTTTGTGTGTGGCGGAGGGAAATTATTAAAAAACTTTGGCAGGATCTTTGAGGCGCGCACGCGTTGCGAAAACGAGGCAAAAATGCAAAGTTTTATAATTAAAAATCAAAATATCAACTTTGTATTAAAATTAACAAAATTAACATGATAAGTTTGGGAAATGATCTGGCAAGTTTCCGAAAGTACAGTTTTATGCATAAGCCGCCGGTTAATACTGCAACTACGCTCTTTTTTCTTCTCTCCACAAACTTGGATAGCTAATTTGTGCCACAACATATTTAATAAAATTAAAAAGTAAAAAAACTGACAAACTTGATTTTCATTCTGCCGCTGATCATTAGTGAGTTTAATTTTGCGGGTACGACGCTAGATGCGAATTCAATTTGGCGTTTCTTTTATTAAATTCTTCCCATCGTTCAACTTGGTTAAGTTAAGGCGTGCGATAAATTTATGGTTGGGAAATAATTAAGCAATATGTTATAGCATTAGATCCGTGCGTCAGTCGTGAGGTCTGCGCGCTTAATTAAGAAAGGTCTACCTAAGGAAGTAATTAATTAAGATGCCATAGCGGCGAAAGTACAGTTTGAGCTCGAAGAGGAAATCGTCTCGTCGCTGGTAATGCACTCTAAACGCGACGACTGCCACACGTCTATATTGCTGACAAAGTGCACGTAGTACTATGAAGGTGTAGCTAATTACAAAAATTATGCAATGGATGTCAGGCGCCTCCACCATCCGACAGTGTTATGACATTATTTGACCAAAAATTGATTAAGTGTGGGGCGGTCGAAGATACCCGACGGAGCTAATGTCAGATGAAAACTGAAGGAGCGCGCAAGCTGTCTACGATCACATCGCTGCTCTAGTTTCAAATGGCACTCGTCTACCCGCGATACAGGCGCAGCGGAGGTGAAGTAATCCCGCGGAGTTTTCAAGAGTTGCACGTCTTGAAATGTGCACCACGCAGTGAAGGCGCCGGGTAAAAGGTAGAATGTGCAGCGGGAGAGGCGAGAAGCTAAGGACTCATCGCTGGAAGTTGCATTGCATCTCTGGAGCGAAAAAGGAAGACGAGCATGAGAACAGTGATAGCGTGATGTTGAAATGAGGGCTGGTGCGGAGTTAGTGGGGCCACAGGCAGGAGCAAGATGTGTTTGCGAGCGGAGATAGATCGCAGCTAGACGATGGCGATAGTGACAACGATAGGGACTTACGTAAAGACGCGTCGAGACGCTACGTTACGTTGCAACGAAGACGAATTGCATGTGGTGTCAACCGGTATTCGAATGTCGGGCGACAAAATTACGGACTACCTATGCGCATCCAAGTAAATTACAAAAGACGAAATTGTTGGCGGTATTATTCTCAGTGCCTATTATATAAATGTTCATTAACCTATCACAGTATTGCCGGTCAACGTATGGTATAATCTATATAAAAATGTTCTATTGACAAATAGTTTTTGATATCAGTATCGATATCGTTATTTCATACTGTTAGTTAGTATGCGTGATGTTTTGTAATAAAAAAAGTAATCATAGTTTAAAGCGGCTTTTGCGGTAAATTTTATAACGTGTAAAGTATAGGTAGTTAAATTCATAAATATAGACGGAAATAAATGTATACAATAAGGAATCACGCTTTTTTATGTTATTGAGAGATTTTTATACTGGAAAATGATTAAAAAAATTGTTTTTTTTTCTCCCAGCTTTAAAACGCCAGTTTTTCTACGGTTTTCAAACACAAAAAGTGGTGCTTTAAACACGAACGGCCAAGGTTGTGACTAAAGTACTTTCTCTACGGGCATTATCTACGGGGCGGAGCTTGCGCCTGCGCATATGCGTAGGGTGTAGCCCTAGACCATAAAAAATGCCTTAAAAAAATTATACATTAATTTTCATTAATTTTAATCAATAATTGCATTTGTATTTTAATAAAAAATGTATTATATAATCAATATGATGTGAATTAACGATGTGGATACGTCGAATTCAGTAAATCCTAAACTTCCAAATTTGAAACATCGATGAAACAATACCTTTTGTATTTAGTGCGATAGTTTTTGAATGAAGTGCAAAAGTCCCGCTTAAGCTGAAGTGGAATTTGTACCCATAGTTATAGGTATATTCAATGCACTGAATTTTAAAATATACTGCGCCAAAAAGCATGTGATGCTCGATAGGAATAATACTTTTCTCTATCGTTACAAACAACATAAAATTAACGTGAATTTACTTGATTATTAATTTTATAAATCCGATTTTTTTGTGTTTTGTGTGAAGTAGCGTCATTCTTGTTCTTCCCATGTATTCCTCCAGTTATGTACACAATGACATAGCTACTGTATATCAAGAACGCAATGCGTGGGGAGAAAAGGGGTCCTTTAACGCTGAAAGTTTGGTAATTAAATATACGTACGTACCGGCCCGCGGCAAACAGTCCTATCTTTTTGAAGTGTGGCAATATTTAAAGAAATGCAAAGTAAGCAAATCTCTGTGGTCTTCTTGCTTGTTTGTTTCTTTATAAACGTATCTACTAGAGAAGAGTGACAGATCGTTTATGTGGCCTTGAGTTTTATGTAAGTATTTTCATGTTCGCCGATTGATGTGTTTATGTTAATGTTATTCAGATCGTTTGTTTACGTTAGACCGGGTTATCTCGAACACCACAATCATATAGTGATAGAATGTGTATAAAATTTGGCTGCACGAGTGCGTGCAACATTATGAAAAATAAAACCGTACTAGCGGAGAAGTTGGACGCGTCGCGCTCGCGCGGCGCAAAATAGCGCGCCCGCTATGGGCGGCGTTCGCGACGTTCCGCCGCCGGTCGCGGCGGTTCGATCGCGAGAGAGGCCGCGCTGCCGGTAGGAATGCGCTCAGTGTGCAGACAGTACGTCGGCGGGGGCGACGCGTTTCGTTTCGTTCCGTTTGCCCTTCTCCGGGCCTCGTGCAAGGAGCATTGCCGTAGCGGCAGCGCATAGACTCTTCGGTCCTCCTGCTGCAAACCCCGTGTACGCATTGGCAACGCGTGGCGTCGCACCACGCGTGCTTCGCGAAGAGCTCGCGTCGAGTACAGTGCAGTTGCCCGGTCGCCGCAGCTGGATTATTGTAAAAATGTGGCTCGCGAGGGCGGAAGTTTGACATGACTGTTCGTGCCAGCGCAAGTTGCCGCTCGAAGAATGTTAAGTAAATAAAGCTAGTGAAGAAAAATGCTGATTTCGACGCGATTTTAAACGATCGCGCAGTGGAAACAACGGACGTTGGCGAGAAACACAGCGCAGCGCGCGGCATCAACGCGATTCGCTACGAAAGCGCAGCATAACGTCAGCGTGGAGAGATTGAATTGATTAAAAGAGATGGCAACGCTAATGATGCAAAGGCTCGCGCTGGTGCTGCTGATGGTCGTCTTGTGCATCCGCTGCTACCACGCCAGCCCGTCACCAATCAAGCGAAGTAAGACTTTTTCTTGTTGTTTCATTTCTGTTTGCTGAATAACTGACGTGCATTTTGCCGCCAGAGTCGGTGATGTGCTCCGTACAAATTGTATGATAAAGGAGAGACCTACTCGTCGGATGATGTGACTTTTCCATTTTTGTCTAATTTAATTTAGTGACAGAATTTTCCAGCTTTAGGGAGACATAAAAACTGACTCAAATCGTGTGAATACTGTTTGTTTCATAATTGATTACTGTTTTCAGTGCCGGATTTACGTATGCGAGCTAAAACACGATGCACACCGAGTTGCGACGTATTAGACAGATCATATTTTCACGAAAAGGGTTGAGTAGTAAATCCGGCTCTGGCCGTTTGACGATTTCCAACTTGAAATTAATTACGTGCATTACACGCTCATCCGCATTGTATTTGAAGTGCTATCAAATTCCAGCGGGTTGAGTTTTTTCCTGAATATGTATTCAAATTTCTCGATCAGCGCGCGAGATGCTTGTAACTAATGGTAAACATTTTCAATTCGGATTTTGTTGTCTACGAGCCGTAAACGTATTTCAAATGAAATTCGATGAAACGAAATGAAATGACATATAATAGATATATAAAACGAAACACAAGAGTATATGATTCCCGTGGGCATAAAACTCGGACGATTGTTCCACTCGCTTGTGACTTGTTTCGAACTTTTGTCATCGCAATTAACTAGACTTTAATACCCAAAGAGAATACCCGACATTATACTCATGGTTGAGAATGATTGCATGTGCAAATTGAATAAACCATTTGCATATTTATGTATTTGGGCCAATTGGACCGACATCGCGAGATATGTTAAATTTTTATAGATTTATATTTGCTTCTCTTCGTTGAAATTATTCTATTGGAACATGTTGTGATACTGTGTATGGGAGGACATGTTTCGTCCATAACTTGATAGTGATACGAGTTATCAACAGGACGTTTGGAAATTTTTTCCTGTGTGAAACATGTTCTTCCAGTTCCGCTAAACATTACTATCGAATCATTTAAAGCTATATCATAATCCGCATCCGCAGCATAAAAATATAATTCGCTGTTTTCATTAAACATTGAAATTCAGACGTTCTGATACATCAATCAGAGATAATGCATGTTTATAAGGCTCAGAAAACATTCATATAAGAATTGTCGTCAGAGCAAATAAAATATTGTGTATGCGACGAGTGAGGAGACGAATTCAAAGAGTGCGTGATTGTGATTGTGTGCCGCGCTGGCGGTACGAGCGTATTAAAAGTTCTGTCAGACTTTTAAAAAGTTTTTAATACATTTAAATGAAGAGGAGAGCGAAGCGGGAGCTCTTTTGTGTCATAACTTTTTCTTGTGTACTCAGAGGTGGATTTAGCCATTGCCCTTGTTTTGTAATCCCCGCGGTGGCAAACTTTTGTCGCTCGTAACTCTTTTTTCGGTACTAATTTTTAATAATGTGGTGGGATAATAAATGCGCGTCCAGCTGTACACATGCCTGCTTTGTACTCATACATCGGCATACTTTTTGATTTTTATTTTATTAGCATATTTCAAAGCTGAGAATTTTACTTTGGTAATATCATAATAACGTTTTTAGCAAAAATGTGTGTTAATTTTTTTCAATTTGAAATTACGAAAATGTGATGCAATTTTATGACGGATTACAGTGATTGCAGCGAAGTGCACAAATCAAAAAATCGGCGGGTGCATGCGCATCGAATATTTTTATCATTACATATACATAGCGAAAAAAAAAACACATCGCACTGGATTTCGGTGTGTCAAAACGCTCAAAACGCTCAAATGAAAAAAAATTATCAATCTAGAAAATTGGAAGCGAAAATCAAAATCAAAATGGAAATGTAGCAGTTTGCTAGCGAAATGCGCTGAATATTGAAATATTCCGCACGGCGGCCGCTTGTTATGCGGGTCGAACGACGTGCGGTTGTCAGCTCGTAAACTAGCGGAACGTGAGTTCGCGGACGCGTCGCAACGCCGCGGACCGCCACCGACGCGCCTCCGTTGCCGTCTCCGCCTATGTGGATGTCGTCATTCGGATTGCATCGCTTTACATCCATATTTTATTCGAAATTCGAATTTCGATTTTGGATTTGATTTTAGCGCACTGACACCGGCCGTCCCGCACAGATGCACTCAATTCCCATACACGAACGTCGAATTATTATTCATTGACTGCGCGATGTTGTTGTATCATAACCGCTGACAGCGTCATCCTTGACCATTAACCGTCAGAATAACATCTGCAAAAGAAAAAAAAAACTTTTAAAGATTTTATATCTTTATTCATTTAAAATTGGTCATATAAACACAGTGTGTAAATTTCATAGGAAAGTATTAACGTTTTATTAAAATTGATTGAAATGCAATTACGAACATTCAGCGCCACAAAAAAAATTAATTTCCCAGCGATTCGATTTATTTTTAATGCAAACATCAGCCGTATGAATCAGAAAAATTAATAAAACTGATCAACATTTAATTGGAATACATCGATTTTAAATTTGTTCACTCAGAATTACTTTGATGCTTAACTAAAAGTTTATTTAATAATTTATATTTAAATGTAACGTGAAAAGCAAAATAGGATTAAAATAAAACAAAATGCATTACATTGCAAAAACAATGCTTTGCACCATTATTGAAATATTGAAATTTTTTCTTCAGAAATTTGAGTTTTTCCATTTTTTAATAAATAACTTATACTGGTGCCAATATATTCATCATATTCAGGTGTATTTTTTGCACAACTTTACGTCGATTGAATAAAATATTTCCACGAAAACTACACAAATTGATTTCGACACGGTGTGTATACAATTCTATCCATTATATGGGCAAATCACTGAACCAAATTGCGCAAATTGGCAAAATTTAAACTGCGCCGATAAAATCAATACATAATACAACCGAAAAGTTAAACTAAGCAAAAAAAATAAAATAACTGGCGTTTGTGTTTTCATAAATTGACACGTGGTTATGAAACTGCGCGCTTTCGTCTTCACGTAGAGCAAAACAATGAAGTGTAGTTCAGTATATCAAGAAGTTTCCCATCATGAAGTTTACGAAACTAATAATAAATGAAGAGTATGCGGTTGTGGGGCGGCGCTGACGTGTGGCATGTATGGCATCATGCATTTCTCCTTCTGGATCGCACCTAATTGTCGGAGTGCGTACGAAAAGTCCGCCGAAACAATATAACAAAAGCTTCATTAATTATACAAGCAGGTCGATGAAGCCCATGAAAACATGCATTATGTACGGATAATAAAAGGCATTTCCGGGTTTTAGCTGCCAGCCTCGCTTTGCATGCGGCAACATGATACATTTTGCTTGTCATTATTGAGCTATCAGAGTACCTATGGCTGAAAAATATTAAATATCGCTTTGACGGCGCATGAAATCATCATTTTTTTTTTGTTACCTCGTCAAGTTTTCGCCTTGTTGCTCATTTGTGTTGTTTCCAATTTCTGCACGGTTACCGTTGCCGTGGTTTTTTGCACTGCGTGTTGTATAACCGTCGATTACGCGCGCATTGATATCTTCATCAATTATTTTGTCCTCGACTGCTTATGCGGATTATACGTCTAGTAATTTAGTTGTCATGTATTTAGCACAATTGTTTGTTTTATTTTTTAATGGCTATTGTGTTCTTCAGGCGCATCACAATGTTCAAATAGCGTATATTTGACTTTTTAACTATCGTGTAAATTTGGCTGCATTCATTTCCAATAACCTATTTTTACCAAAACGTTTTCTTAATCGAATTTAAGAAAAAGTTGCGTAATGAGCAAAATATGATTTATTATTGATCATATTAAGGCTTTATTTAAATAAAAGTAAATATTCGTTCTAAAATGTACAAATTTAAGCAGATGACCGTTTTATGATGACCGCGAACGATATTCGTAGTTTAATTAGGAGTAGTTTGGTTGGTTGAATTCGCCCAAACCGAATTGCAATTCCTACACCTGTTAATATTTCTAATACCTTCCAAATACCAAAATAATTAAATGTAAATTAATTGACAATTCATTGGTATATACGCAATTTAAAATTTTGACATGAATGATGTCAAACCATGGCGCAAAAATATCAGTTACATTTGTACAGTATATATTTGTATGACAACATGTTCGTATATCCAGATGCCAGTACTTGTTTAAGGGCACTACATATTTATACTACAGTGCTGTATTTACTTGGCTAATGCATCAGAAAATCCGATTAAATAGCGAATTAGCGGATGCGAAGATCCATTTTCACGGCTCAAAGTTTCATGTGTTTCGCCGATCCATTTTGCGAATAAATGATCTGTCTAAATAAACTAAAATACGGTCAAATCCGGCACTGCAGCACGTGCAGCGCATGTCAGGTGCATGTTGGTACAACAATGTCGGAAATGTGATTTAGTGCATTCCCCCGTTCCGCAGCCGCCCCAATGGCTGTGTCTACGGGGCGCTCCCGGCATGTATTTTGACGTACGTCCACAATTATAAAATATAAATATTACGCGCGTTGTATGCGTGGTCGCACACAAGGCCGGTGCGGCGACTGGACGCGCAAAACGTAAACGAATTACATAAATTTGATAAATCTATTAGCGATAAAAATTAGTTAATTACATAAATGGATGACCCGGGCGCGCACGGCGTGTCATGAAATTTCTGTTTTAAATATGCATCTACCGCGCATTGGAGGCGGCAGATATGAGGTATATAATTATGGCGCACGTAACTGCGTGCAAACTGCTCGCGCGCAAATAAACCAATAAATTCATTATTTGCATTGGACAATTTAATGCGCGTGTTTTCGAAGCGGTGAAATATTTATTTTCTCGTTGGTGGGTCTTTGTGCATTATGTGTACGATGATAATTTACCTATAAATGTGAAATATAGCAAAATTAGGTATAATTAATTGAAAAATAAACGAATGATATTTATTGACTTATCTAAGGCAGAAAGTAATGTTTATTAA